AGAGTTGAAATCATCCCTTGCATGGTATTGGATCATAGCGCTCTGAAATTAGAAATTAATCATAAAAGATACTGCAAAAATCCCACAAACACATGAAAACTGAATAACACACTCTTGAGTAATCAGTGGGTCACGGAAAAATTAAAGAAGAAATTAAACAATACCTAAAAGAAAATGAAAATGCAGATTCAACTTACCAGAATCTGTGGGATGCAATGAAAGCCATCCTGAGAGGAAAATTTATTGCACTGAGTTCCCACATCAGGAAAACAGAACAAATACAAATAAATAACTTGATGCTACACCTCAAACAGCTAGAAAAAGAAGAGCAAGTCAAGCCCAAAGCCAAAAGAAGAGAGGAAATTATAAAAATCAGAGCAGAAATCAATGCAATAGAGACTGAGAAAACAATCCAAAGAATCAACGAATCAAAGAGTTGGTTCTTTGAAAGAATAAATAAAATCGATAAGCCCCTAGCCAACCTTATTTTAAAAAGGAAAGAAAAAGCTCAAATTCATGCAATAAGAAATGAAAAAGGTGAAATCACTACAGACCCAATAGAAATACAGAAGTTCATCAACACCTATTTCGAAAACCTCTACTCTCAAAAGTTTTATAACACAGAAGAAATAGACAGATTCTTAGAAGCATATGAAGTACCAAAGCTAGTTCAAGAGGATGTAAAACTGTTGAATAACCCAATCTCTGCTAATGAAATTGAAAATGTAATTAAGTCCTTACCCACCAAGAAGAGCCCAGGCCCAGATGGAATCACTGCAAATTCTACAAGAAATACAAAGAAGACCTAATGCTGACACTCCTCAAACTATTCAATGAAATTGAAAGGGAAGCAATCCTTCCTAAGTCATTCCTGGAAGCAAATATTACTCTAATACCAAAACCTGAGAAAGACCCAACTATAAAAGAGAACTATAGACCGATCTCCCTAATGAACACAGATGCAAAAATCCTCAATAAAATATTGGCAAATAGGATCCAGCAAATCATCAAGAAGATTATACACCATGACCAAGTGGGATTCATCCCAGGAATGCAAGGATGGTTCAACATACGCAAATCAATAGATGTAATCCACCATATCAATAAAGCCAAAAATAAGAATCACATGATCATTTTTATAGATGCAGAAAAAGCCTTCAATAAGGTCCAACATTTATTCATGATAAGAACTTTACAGAAAATTGGAATAAATGGTCTTTACCTCAACATAATAAAGGCCATTTATGACAAACCAACAGCCAGCATCATACTAAATGGCCAAAAATTGAAAGCCTTTACTTTAAAATCGGGCACAAGACAAGGATGTCCTTTATCACCACTCCTATTTAATATAGTACTGGAAGTACTAGCCAGAGCAATTAGGCAAGAAAGAGAAATAAAAGGGGTAAAGATAGGAAAAGAAGAAGTTAAATTATCATTGTTTGCAGATGACATGATACTCTACATAGAAGACCCCCTAAACTCCATTGAAAGACTCTTAGATACAATAAATAAATTCAGTAATGTGGCTGGATACAAAATCAATACTCAGAAATCAATAGCATTCCTATACACGAACAACAAAATTACAGAGAGGGAAATAAGAGAAACTGGACTATTCACATTCGCAAGCAAAAAAATGAAATATTTAGGAATTACTCTTATGAAAGAAGTGAAAGACTTATACAGTGAAAATTATAATACACTGAAAAAGGAAATTGAAGATGATCTCAGAAAATGGAAAGACATCCCTTGCTCATGGATAGGAAGAACAAACATTGTGAAAATGGCCATTCTCCCAAAACTGTTATACAGATTCAATGCAATCCCAATAGAAATTCCATCAACATACCTTATAGATCTAGAGAAATCACTCCTGCAATTCATCTGGAACCAGAAGAGACCTAGAATCGCACAGGCAATTCTAAGCAGCAAAGACAAAGCAGGAGGCATCAAAATACCTGACTTGAAGTTATACTACAAAGCAACAGTAGTAAAATCAACATGGTATTGGAATCAAAACAGAACCGAAGATCAATGGAATAGATTAGAAGATACAACCACAACTACAAACACACTCAACCACCTTATCTTTGATAAAGGAGCCAAGCAGGTTCACTGGAAGAACGACAGTCTCTTTAATAAATGGTGTTGGAAAAACTGGCTCTCCATTTGCCGAAAACTAAAACTAGACCCATGCCTATCACCATGTACTAAATTAAAATCTAAATGGGTCAAAGTTCTGAATATTAAAACAGAAATACTAAATCTATTGGAAGACAAATTAGGTAGAAACCTTGGAGACATAGGAGTAGGTAAAGAATTCATGAACAGGACTCAAATCGCACAGGAAATACTTCCCAGAATCAATAACTGGGACCACTTCTTATTAAAAAGTTTCTGCATGTCAAAAGAAATCTCCAGCATAGTGAAAAGAAAACCCACAAACTGGGAAAAGATTTTAGTGAACTCTCTCTCAGACAAGGGACTCTTGTCTAAAACATATAAAGAATTTTAAAAACTCAGACCTCCAAAGTTCAAAGATCCAATCCAAAAATGGGCATCTGAGATGAATACGCAATTCTCAGATGAAGAAATGCAAATGGCAAATAAATACATGAAAAAATGCTCATCATCATTGGTCATTAGAGAAATGCAAATTAAAACCACACTGAGATACCATCTCACTCCTGAAAGAATGGCCAGGATCAAGAAAACCAACAACAACAAATGCTGGAGAGGCTGTGGGGAAAAAGGAACTCTCCTGCACTGTTGGTGGGAGTGTAGAGTGGTACAGCCTTTGGGGAGGTCTGTCTGGAGATTTCTCAAAAAGTTGGGATTGGAAATCACATTTATTGCAGCTATTCCACTTCTTGGCATATTCCCAGAAGAACTGAAAGCATCATACCACAGTGATATATGTGCACCTATGTTTATAGCAGCACAATTTGTAATAGCCAGATCTTGGAAACAACCCAAGTGTCCATCAACTGAGGAATGGATAAAAAAGTTGTGGTATTTCTATACAATGGAGTATTATTCAGCTATAAAGAAGGATCACATTGAGATATTTATCAATAAATGGGCGCAGCTTGAGACCATACTCATTAGTGAAATAAATCAATCTCGCATGTGTGAATACCGAATAGTTTCCCTAATGTAAGTAATGATTCAAATATATAAAAATATGTGGTAATCATGATTCCCCATTATGTGGCCTTGAAGCCTTATAAAGTTTTCACTCATTAATTTAAAGGCTTTATTCTGGGCTTCTTGATATGAAAATATTTGAAGCTAGAGTATATGAAGTTTTATCCAAATATTTCAAGGAAAAAGACAGACACTATGGTAACTACTATTAAGTCGGGTTATACGGTGGTGAAGTACTAGGTTGCTGAAACAGTCATGCTTTGACCTCTATTGTTATATTGTTATGTCCTGTTTTATCTCAATCTCCCCCTTATTCTTTAAAAAAATTATTTAGTTATTTCTTATGTTTGTGTTAATTAAGGGGAAAAATTTTAAAAATTAGAATATATAATAGTAACTCTTTTTGATTTCCTATTAACTTTTTTTGAAGTCCTGTAATACTCCCACGATCATGTTTTGACTGATTAGACTCTGTTTTATTATGTATGATAGTACCAAGTTTGAGGGTATAGGCAACTACTTTGAAGGCAATAAGATTCACTAAGATGCCCATTCTGGTTTGATTATTGTCTCCTTTGGAAGTCCTGTAAGGTTTACAATGCCTAAGTTTTATTGGTCTTGTTCCCTACTGTTTTGTCCAACTTTATAATATCTAATGAGATAGACAATTCTTTTTAAGGAAACAAGAGACAACGTTGATAACCACTGTTGATAACCTTGTACTCTGTTCTACACCATGTGCTATGTCTATCCTTGGTTTTGACTGACAGCTTTGTTTTGCCATATTTGACTGAATTCTCTCCCCCGCAAAAAAGTAATAAGAACTAAGGAGTAATAAAATCCAAAATGTGTAAATTTTGTTGTAAAAAAGAGAGGGGGGAAAAAAGAGCTCTAATGGATATAACAGCAAGTGTGTTTAGGGGTGTTAAATAGCTGACTTTATCAATGTTTTTGGAACATTGAACACAGCTGTTTGCAGTCTCCCTGTTTGAATGTCCACTTTGTATTCTTTGATACTGTGATTTTAGCAACTATTTTCAAGATGATAATATGTAATCTATTAACAGGTGATTTCTTACTGTTATGTTTTTTTTTTTTTGTAGTTCTGTATTACGTGTATCCTTACACCGCTTTGTTTTGTGTTTTTCTCTTTTTCCTCTTAAATAACAAAAAAAAAAAAAAAAACAATGGTGACTTCAACCACACAAAGATTCTGTATTCTATTTTGCCAAATGATCTCTGGTTCACTGAGTAGGGGAACATCATTGATATACTTCACCAAAAGTTTTCACAAGCAGTGACATCGTTTATGTGAAGACGATTTCCCTTGAAAATCTCCACATTTATGAACTAATTTTTCAAGCACTCATAGGGAATACCAGTTCCTCTATCACAGAGCTGGCACAGGATTTGGGGGCCAACTAAGCTTTGGTGATACTACAGTTTTTTCCAGTGGGCAGCAAGTATTTCTCCCATAGGCCTTTGCAAATTCTAAATAAGTAACACATTACTACAACTGAGTGAAATACAGTTAATATTTACAAAAGTTGCAACCCTTTTCTCTCTTTTAGGCAGATTTAGTTGGATTTCAGAAGGTAGAAGAATCTTTTGGTCCCTTTCAGTCTCTTTCCATTTTGTTGCATTTGAGAACCCAGTTCTGAGACCACAGTATGAGTATAGCAACACCACGTGAAACTGAATCCCTAGGCTTTTTATCAATTAGTTAAATTTATGTGAAATTTATTTAAATTTTCCTCAATGCACTTAAGACGTGTTGAGAGCAAAAAATACATCCAAATGAGTTTAAAATACACTGAATATAAAGGTTTTATTTTCAGTATAGAACAATTCTAAGCACATTCACTTTTTCTGCTGCACAAAAATCCTCTTGTTCCATCACAACTTGTAATCTTTTGGCTAGTGGCATAAACGAAGGCACAATTGCCAGTGCCTTCTATACTGAACCTAGAAAATGAGAGAGAGAGATTTTTTACTTGTATCCTACAAAAAGTAACCAAGAAGAGACTCAAGTATAAATATGAATATTTTGGTAACCATGTTTTTAAATGTACAATGTGGAAGGAAAAAAGGAAGTGAAGTGTTTCTTTCCATTAATCAATCCCCAAACTTTAGCTCAGGACTTTGCTAATATGTAGATGCTGTTCTTTATGTTCAAATGCCTCCTTCTAGCCCCACAAGCCTCACACAATCATGGATGCAACCAAATCTAATTAGTTCATGGTGTAGTGCTCAGATTGGTGGTGAGTGCTACAACTGCCCAAGGGTGGAGCCAACGTACTGTGTAAGGGCAGGGAGAAAATGTGTCTTCTCTCTCTTTTGCCTGGTTGACACCTTGCTGCAGGGGCAGACGTGAACAGCTGCCCCTCAGACATGTCGTTTTTCCTTGGAGCCAACTGAGTATGGACTGAAACCTCCAACGTGCAAGAAATAAACCTTCCATTCCCTAACTTTGGATGTCAGGTATTTTGTTTCAATGAGAGAAAAAAGTAAGTAAGAGAATAGGAGAGGAAGCTATGTTAATCCAATGTGTTAACTATATACTCCTGGCATTTTTTTGCTTTTACTAATGTAGAAAATATGTGAATCATTTTGTAAATGATTAGATTCCTTTGTTTATGTTTTAGAATTAAAAAATAATGAGTCTAGACAATTTCAAATGCAATAAAGAAAGGATAGCTAATATTTCATTGAACACCTTTTGTGCATTATAAAATTAGTACAGTTTTGTGCTGAAATCCATGCTCATTTAGTCACTCTGCAGCTAGCACCATAGTAAAATAAGTATTTTCAACTGGATGCAGCATAGTGTAGAGTAGCTTATACCCAATGTCTTCAAAAAGTTTTCCTAATTCACATTTCAGATCATATAGAAATGTATGAAATTACAAACTAAAATGAGAAAAATGATGTTACAATGATTTCTGGTTATATTGAATTAAGATGCTTTTTCTAATTCAGTTTTTGGAGCTTTTTGTCTACTTTATTGACTTCTAGTTATTTTCAAATTTTTATCCAGACTGTTTCCAAAATATCCGTGTATAGTCATGCCTCATTACACTCAAGAGATTAGTTCTAAGATCTCTGCCTTGGTGGATACCAAAATCCACAAATGCTTAAGTTGTTTACGTAAAATAATGTAGTATTTGCATATAAAATATATCCATTCCTATAGACTGTTAATCATTCCTGAATCACTTGAAAAACCTACTACAATATAAACTCTATATAAATACTTCTTATCCTGTACCACTTATGGAATAATTTTATATAGTCATTGTAGAAAAATAGTATATTCCTGATATTTTCAAGTTATGGTTCCATGAACCCATACTTGTGGAGCATGCAGGTATAGAAGGGCAACAGTATTTTCTTGGCTTTGTGTTTCTTGGTGCCAATTATTATAAATTATGTTGTGCCCAGACTGCATATTTTGAAGCCCTAAACCTCACTATTTCAAAATGGAACATACCTGATATAAAGTTTTGAAAGGACTAATCATTTTAAATGAGCTTTCTTAGTGAATTTAATTCAGTGCAATTGATATTCTTATAAAAGGACATAGCTGAAACACAGACTTCAGCACGTACAAAGACTAAACCATACGAAGATGGAGTGAGATGTTCACCTCCACAAGGTAAGGAAGAGGCTACAGAGGAATTTAACAGTGTCAGTCTTGAACTTCTAGCCTCCAGAACTATTTTTAAGATGCTAAGGTTGAGCATTTATTACAGAAACCTTACAACACGAATACACAATCTTTTACTAATGAATGGCTTTTACATCTTCCTCTATTAAAAACTATATGAAATATAGTACTGTTATTCTATTAATATTTTTCTCAAGAAAATGTATTAGCCTATATTTTAGTTAGAAAAAATAATTTTTGTAATACTTTTCTTACATTTTTCAAGGTTAAAATGTAATAGCTACTCACAACACTGTCATTCTCAAGTCACTTAGGGTATAATCTGACTCCACACATGATATAAATACAATAATTACAGAAATTTCTCTAAATGTAGAAACTTTTACTACTAAATTTTTCATGTCATATACACAAGATAGCACCTAGTACATTACATTATTGTCACAGAGTGTCATAAGTAGTTACCCGGTAAATGGTACTGTGTTGATTCACTACGGGGAACCAAAAATGCTTTTAAATTTTCACCTACTCTAGTTAAAGAAAATTTCAAATATTTATAGATAAAAAGAATAATACTCAAATTAAAATTAATCTAAATAATATAGATGAATTCTGGGATTTTAAATAAAAGTAAAATGAGCATACTTTCTTTTCTCATTATTCTTCAATGGTTTTCAACACCCCTGATGACTGTGAAAAAAAAGGAGGCATCATTGAATATTCTCCCATCAATGGAAAAAATCAATGTAATGACATAACAAATAAATATAAAAGATCCAAAGTTGAAAGAGACAAGCATTTATACTTCCATGTGGTCTACAATGAACAGGATACTTGTGTCTCACATGTGGAACAATCCAATTCTGCATCTAGAAATAAACGTTGACCTTCAAGGCAATGCTTCACTCAAGAAAGTCTGGTTCTCTGAATATTCTTTTTGATGTCTACTTGTTGAGGACTGGGTTAGGGGAAGGGTGTGGAGAAAACTATAGTGGTAGCTCCTCACAGACTCAGAATTCTTACATGTTTAACACATCTTATAGTAAATAAATGTCAGTAAAGATTACCAGTTAGTAAAGAGACTCCCATCGGTCCATCTCCACTTATTGTCAGAAGCGTGTTTTCTCAGTCCAATCCAATACGTAGAGTTTTTCAGATAGTTCATCACAAATTGCTGTGACAAAATAGAGTCATAGATCTAATGTCATAGATCTCACCTACCTTTCTCATTTTTACTATATAAAAAACGTGCTGCTTTCCTTGTCTGAGCCCATTATTCTTTCACTAGGGTTACTGCAAATGTTTGGTAGTAAAATTTTCTGCCTTTATTTTAGTCACACAGTTGGCAATCTCACAACGGTAAAGAAAATGATTCTCTTAACATCAGAGTGAGACCATATCACAATTTTGCTCACAGTTCTGAAACACCTTCCTGGTTTGCTTGAAACAAGAAAGACTTATAATGGCTTACAAGGACCCTTATGATACACATACACATCCCTCCCTTCTATTTACACAAACCGACTAGGAAATTCTTTTCTTTTCCTGCAGCATTCCAATACTGAACTGAAGATTGTTCTCTAAGAGTTGCCTTTTTCAGGTGTCCTCCCTAGAGACTGTCTTGGCTACCTTCTTTAACTCCTTTACATCTTTGCTCAGATATCATAATCTTAAAGAGCTAAAACTTTGCCTGCAGTCTTGCCAGGTGGCAACAACATCAAATCCATTACTTCGTACCCTCTTGCATAAAACTTACTAATCTCCAATATACTATGTAATTTTCTTATTCACTATGATTGATCTTCATTGTCCATCCCATTCTCTGGTGTGTAAGCTCTAGAGATTTTTCACTGCTTTGCTATGAGATCAAAATCAACAAATATGTGTCCCACATAACAGCTCTTCAAATTGTTAGAAGTGTTTTGAAAAGGAATCTAACCATTTCACCATAGGAGGTAATTTTGGCCAGAGATCCAAAATATCTTCTGCAGTGTCTTTGTCCTTCAACCCAACTAACTTGATTTTCAGATTGAAAGTAGCAGGTCTGGTGGAATAGATTCCAGGCAGGTGGACATATTCTCATGTCATCAGTGCAATTCTTTTTGATCATTTTAATTCCAACTAAAATTAATGTAGTTAAAAAAGAAAATGTAAGAAGAAAGTTCTGACCTTCCATGTAAAAGACTTTATGTACTTTATGTTGATAAAATGATTTTGCTTTCTCCTTCAGATATTGGAGTTGGATATCAAGCACAAGTAAATATCAACAATATAGCATGAGATCAATTAGCATTGAAGGATGAGCATATATTCATAACTCAAAACAAAAAATGTACATTTACAGAGCCTCCATATCCTCTGGCCATATTCTCTTCCATTTTATTGCACATGCTTCTGGAATCATTTTATCAGTTTAATTCAATTTCTAAAATTTACTATACTATTGAATTTCATTGTAGGAAAATAAATCCATCTATCTAATAATGTCAAAAACTTTTTGAATTACTGATGTAGCTGAGAATGAATTGTTTCTCAAATACAATAATTCCTCAAAAGTTGAAGCATTTGGTTTTTGTCTTTAAACAAAAGATATTAGAAGGAAAAATGTTGAAATTTTACTAGTTTTTTACAATACAGGTTTTACTTCTTAATTTATTGTATTAGGTAAAAGAAACTACTTGTTAGGATATAATTCTTAGAGAAACAAGGTTCAAGGCAACACTCATACAAGCTAAAATGAAAGACTGATTCATTATCAAATCTATGAATGGGAAGATCATGAAATGGAAAGATAAACTAGCAAAATGTTTCTGTATACGTGAGAGTTGGTGTAATAAAATAGCAATAATTAGGTTACCAAATTTTTTTAAAGCATCGTTTAAAATTATTTTTAAGTGACAAATTCAAATCAAGAACATATGCAAACTCATATACTTATTTTGAAATCATGATCACCAGAATTCCAGCTTTGTCTTTTACTCACTAATTCACATACTCTTGTATTTATTTTTCAACTAGTTGAGCACTTACTGCTTAGAAAAAAAAATAGTTTACATAACATGCAAAAATACTTGCTTTCATGAAACTTACACTCCTGAAATAAAGTAACTGGGATAAAATAGATAGCTTTATTGGTGGAAAGAATTACAATTTTCACATAATCCAGAGTATAATGTCAAAGGAAAAATTAATGTTTAATAAAAGCTTGGGGGAAATGGAGCAACAGAGGGTTAAGGGTAATATCTACCTGAGCAACAGGAAGAGAAGGTATAAAAGACTGAAGTAAATGTGTCTATAAAGGCTTGTTCACCAGTTAGTAAGAATATTCATTTCCTTTCAGACATAGTTAATGAACAATCAGCCGGTGATATCTGAGGGATAATGGGGCAATACTCCCATGTGAACATTGTAGTCCACTGACAGGTGTCAGCTTTAATCCAAACTATTGAAACACAATGCAGAATTGTGAACAATTTGTTCATCTTTTTAAAAAAAATTAAATCAACTGTAGATGATGGAAGCAAGAGGTCAGGAGTCATCCAGCACAAACTAGTCCCTCCTAAATATTTGTCCAAGATGATAAGTACATGGCTCTCTGAGGAGACAGCAGTAAAATAGGAACTCAGGGAATGCAGCTTTAGAAAATTAGCAACAAGTTGAACTCTGGAACACTGTTACTTAAATGCAGCTAAATTATCAAATCAATGAGTTCCACAATGAGTGAACTGAGACCTATGAGGAGGGAGAGCTTTTTTCCAGATGCAAGAGCAAAAGGACATACTTACCACAGACCTCTGAGCATTCACTTTGCTACTATAAGGACATAAGCCTAAGCAGAGAGATCTGAGTGCAGCCAATTGAGCCCAAACAGGAGTAAGAATTCACATACTTAGATAGGGTTAGATCAGGTAATTAGCTTTGAAGTAATCCCATGATATCTCAGAAATCACCCTTTGAATAAGAGCAACAGTTCATGATGGCAAAAGACAGAAAAAGACAATGGGCAGGGGAGCAAAGACCAGACTCTTTCCAACCCTTATATTGTATGCAGGCTAGCCACTACAGTGGAGGAGTAGCACTCACACCCAAAATAGTAGCTAGAACTATGCCAAACCAACCAGTGGGCTGATTTACTAATCAAAAACCCTTACTCCTAACATTGCACACTCCAGATTCATCCACCTCTGGAAAAGGCCTGTGACTGCATGAGAATTGGGGGGCAAATCTAAACACAAATCATACCATTCTGCCCCTGACCCCTCCAACACACACGAATATCCCTTTATGCAAAAGATATTTAGTCTATCTCCCAGATTTGCCAAAGTCCCAACAGTTTCAGCATTACTGGAAAGACCAAATCTCAACTTTCCTCTCAGATTTAAGGCAAATTATTAACAGTGAACTCCTGTATATATGAAAAGAAAGTTAAACACTACCAGCGTTCAGTGGCAAAAGACAATGCTCAATCCAAAGCTACAAACAGGGATATAAAAGTATGGGACCAACACAAGTTCAAAGTCCAGCAAAGCAAACATTAACTCATAGTTCTAAGTGCAGCATCCAAGTCTATCTGTGATAAGTTGTAAACTCTAAAGAGCTTATGTGGCTCTACCATGTGAGACACTTCCAGTGGTTATAGCTCCTATGGCTTCTCTCTTGGGCCTACTTTGCTCTCTCCTTGCAGTTTTGCTGAGATGATCTATCTAGGCTTCTCCAAACTTCTAGGGTCTCCTCTGTTCTTTGGTTTCACACTCACAGCTTCCCTAACTATCCTTTCAGAGACACACTGCCAGGACCCACCAGCCTTTTTCTGAAATCTGGGTGAAAGACTTCCTGATCCCACAGCTCTTTATTCAGTATGCACTTAAATCTAGATCCATGTGGATGGTACCAAGATTACTACTAGCTGGAGCAGTCTCCAGGCTTCCCTCTCCCTTGGCTATAAGAGAGTTGGATCAGAAAACACTCTGAATCCAATTCCAAGGAAGAAATTCTCTATGCCACTTCCATTCTGAAACATGGTGTGACCTCCGCCATTCCTGAACATGGTGCACTGGGACTTTCTTCTCAAAATGAAGTCTTTGATTTTTGCAACTGTGAGGCTGCAAAGTGTTGAGATCTGCTGCATCTTATGATGCTATCAAAGCATTTTACAATTTTCTTGTTCCTTGTCAGTAATCAGGATCTCCTATGCTCTGTTTTTGTAGTCCACAGTTTTACTGAAGCTTCATTTCCAATCAACTGATAATGTTTTAAATCATTTTTCTGGAATCTTTGCTCTTAATTCTCAACATAAATCTGGACACACACCCCCAATAGTAGCCATGCTACCACCTCAATATTAGATTGCCTTGAAAGTATTTCTGCAAGATTAATTCATTTGCCACCCTTATTCTCAGTCTCATGAAAAGTCTCTGGAAAGAAACACAATGCAGACAAACTTTGTGCCTAGGCATATCATGCATCACTTGGAATCCAATATCCAATGCCCTTCTTATTTCCAAGTAGAGATCTCCTGAGCCTGAACTGTACTGGGACCATTTCTATCAGCACTCTGGTCTTTTGAGCTCTGAACAGAATCACCCATAGAGTACATCCTCAGGCATCTCAGCTCTACTTTTTCATCCCAAATCTCTGAACCTTTCCAAACTCTACCCACAAAGCAGTCCCAAAGGTTCCTGAACCATATGGTCAGGTATACTCTCAATAAGGGACCCACTTCTTCGGTACCAAATTCTGTCTTACGTACTTTCTGTCATCACTGACACAAAATTCAGACACCTGAAGTTAAAGAGGGAAAAGTTTGTTTAGCTCCATTTATACAGGTTTCAGTCCAGAATGGGCTGGATCCAAGGCAGGGTGGCACATAGGCAACAGTTCATGAAGACAGAAGATAGAAAAAGCTAGGAAGTTACAAGACTCTTTCTGTCCCTTATATTGTATGCAGGCTCTGCACTCTATGGCAAGTGTAGCACTTGAACTCTTAATCCTAGACAGCCTCAATCAGTTGACTGATTTACTACTCATACACTACTAATACCAGCATCTCTAGATACACTACTAATACCAGCATACTCTAGATTCAGCTATCACTGAAAAAGTTCTATGACTACACCATGTTTCGTGGGGACATATAGACACAAACTACAACATGCAGGCAGCAATTTATCCAAAAGAATACCATTATTTTGTATTACACGCATGCACTAACAAAAACTCAAAGAATAGAGTCTAGAATTTTAAAATCTACTATGGCACATAGTGTTGTATCATACAGATACTGAGCAATGAAAATGTGACTAGTCCAAAGCTAGGTATTCTGCAAATGTAACATCTACACTGAACATGAAATTTAGTATAAAATAGAAACATTTAGCTAATAAGTCTATACTGACACATAGTTAATAAGATATTGGCTATACTAAATTAAATGAAAATACAGTTTGAATTATTTTGACTCAATTTGGTGTCTAGAAATTTATAGTACATATGTGTTTGGATAACATTTTGGCTGATATTATATTTTTCCTGTACTATGTTGCTCAATGAAAACAAATTTGACAGAAGGAATCACAAAAGAAAAAATGACAGTTAGGTAAAGGGCAGCAACACTAGAGATGATGAAAAGTGTTTAAGACTTTGCTATTTTGAAACACTAGATAGAATCTTATATTTAGAACACGAGAAGCAAAGAGAAAATAAACAACTATTGGGTTTTGGATTTAAAATCAGAAGTTTCAACTTTTTGTTGAGATAGGAAGATACTGATAGAAGAAATTAGGAGCATAATAGAAGCAAAAAAATTGATACCAAAAAAAGAGACTGAGATAGGTGTCTTTTAAGCAAGATGGAGAATTTATTTTTTGGAAGACATAAAATGGAGCTTGACAAACATTGACTACAATTAGTAAACTGACAATTGTTGGTAAAATTGAAAGACAAATTCAAGGGAAAAAAAGAAGCAGCAGCCTGATAAGAACACATTTAATAGAGAAGCAGTGGGGCTTGGGTGTTCTTAGATGGGAGAACACATACTTAGCAATACAGAGGCTTTGAATTTCTTTCCAGCACCATGACTCCCACAAACACCACCAAATCAGCACTTAAGCAGAAGACTGAAGTTTAGTTGTATGGCAGGTGTTCAGAATGCATGGAATCCTGGGTTCAATATGGGGAGGTGGAGGAGGAGAAAGAAATAGGACGTTAAAAATTAAGGAAAAAGCTAGCAAATAAAGCATTCAAGCAATTACTGTTGTATCCAGGAGGAAAAAAAAATGGGTAGCTGAAGGACACATGATAGCCACTGACTTTGTTTTGTTTAAGCTGGGAGGTATAAATAACATCCATGTTGTGTTGCCGATGAGATGTTTCAATTGGCCGTGAAAAGAATGATGATGTAGTACAGAAAAGATTTACGGGAATAGTGCTAGTGACTAAACAAGATGATATGAGACCTGATGTAGAACGTAAATACCCTGCAGATATTTTAAGGATGGTGGACAGTAGAATAGCTGAATGGATGGGCATGTTTGGAAGTTGTTAAATGATGCTCTTCAAACAAGTTGGAAGCAAGATGTATATGCTATTGTGTTAAAACTCTATTCTTCTTTGTTTTTCCCTTTAGTCACAGATACATTCTTTGCAGGGAAAAGCCCCAGCCCCTCATCACATTTGAGCCATCAGCAGCTGTCACTATGCCTGAACTCAATAAGTAATGATTGAAAGACTAACTCTAGCAGGTAAAGCAGAGGACCAAATCTGCAGAATTCTCAATATGTTAGCATAAATATTCACTTACCTTTTTTAGGAAATGTTAGCATCACCCAAAGAAAAACTGCAAGACCTCCACATAACAAGACGGAGAGGATTATCATCTTCTTTTTTACTATGCATAAGGCAAACACAGGTTATTATCTTCTGGAGAAACACAAGCAACACCCCAAGGAATGTTTATCCTTTTTTTCCATTTTCTGTGTGTTTCCCATTTCCAGCCCAGTAATTCATCAACCAGAAAGTGATAAGGGTCTTAAGCTCTAACCAGCAGCAGCCACAGCCTCAGGAGCTTGTGGCTCCATCTGCTGGCGTCATTTCCCAGAACTGTGCTACTAATCTTTTGGGCCTCTTAACCAAACATGCTGCATTATCCAATGTGAGGAGGGAGCAAGTATGTTCTTTGTTACTAAAGACTGCCTTAACTTAACGATTTTATGGTAAGCACTGTCTTCTGCACCTTCCTGCCTCCCAAATGCTGACTGTCCAGATGGGGCCAGGAAATGGGGCTAAAATCAGAATTTGGCTTCTACAATATAAGTTCTCATCCTCCTTACCCATTTTTGAGCAGGAACGGAGGACAGGGGTTGATACTAAGTGTTTATCCCAGGGGCCCTCTACCATCAAGCTAAATTCTCAGATTTTTATTTTTATTTTGAGACAGGATCTGGCCAAGTTACCCAAGTTAGCCTCAAATTTGCGACCCTCCTGCCTCAGTCTCTTCAGGATTTCAAAAGGCCCATAGCCACCACGCTCTGACTTTAGCCAACCTTCCGCTCTTCTTTTCCGCCTAATCTCTATTTCTTCTCCTTCCATTTTCAGTCTTCACCACAAACGCTCTTCTGTGATCACAGAGACTGGAACTATCCTAGGCGTGGATAGAAAACAGCCAGCTCTCTGGTAGGTGCCTGTAAACTCAAAGGAACTGCAGAATTTGTCTCCTTGGAGTGAGGCCTGACTGTGAGGCCCAGCTAGAAGAGCGCACAGCCCCAGAGCAGGAACTGCCCTGAGCTCTGCAAGATTGGACACCAACGGGCAGCGTCCACCCTCCAACTGCTGGGAATTTCTACTGACAGTGCTCCTGCCCCAGAGGAATGTCTCAGCTCCTGCGATTGGCTGCAGCCCAAGGACAAGGACTCTGATTGGTCCTTAACCTCCCACCATCTAACTACTAGTAATGGTGGTTGGGGGAAAGGGTCCTATGGCTTTTTAGTTTTCTTTTCCATTCTAAATTCTCCCTAACGCTCAAATCTTGTCCAGGTTTTAACATATGGATTGCTTATAGACTCTACATTTTTTGGTTTTGCATTGTTTAGAATTTTTACCTGGTCTGCTTATAATCTACGTTTATCTGGCCGTGACTTAGAGAAAGGAACCCGATGTTGCATGTTTCCATAGTCATTGAGTGAAGACGTGTTTCATAAGCAGTCTTCATTTTGCACAGTGATGTAGTGCAATAATTCCAGAACAAGTAAAAATGACACCAGGAATTTTTAAATTAATACGTGTTTGAAGTGCATCATACATTCCTTGTAAGGAGCTGGTATATGAATGTGACACATCTTATCTGACTTTTCAATTCTTTTTCCTCCCTTCCTTACCACTTTCCAATTGAAAAATATCTATCCCTCTCCTTCTTATTATCTACCTCCTATTTTGCTTTTTATTTATAATTCGTTTTCTCATGTAAGAGAAATCATGCAATATTTAATTTGTGTGTTTGATTTATTAGGCTTAAAATTGTGGTACATGGTCTGAGGGTGCATCTATTTTCGTATTCCATTTATCTTTCTTTAAGGCAAATTAACACTCCACTGTGCAAAAGCAACACTTTTTTCTTCATCTATGCATCTGTTGATAGGCATAGAGGCTGTTTCCTCTTGAGCTCTTGTAAATGGTGCTGCTATAAACATAGACATATATGTGTCACTGTAATATGTCTTTAAGTCTTTTGGAAAGATAGGAAGAAGGCAAACAGCTGAGACAAAGGGAATTTTTATTTATAGTTTATTGAAAATCTCCATTTGAATCTCCAGAGTGTTGATACTAATTTTTATTCCCCTAACAATGTAGAAGGTCACATTTGCCCCCGCAGTCTTGCCAGTATTTATTGTCTGAGCATGGCAGTTCTTCCTGTTGTGTTATGAAATCTCATTGTTGCATTGATTTGCTTTTCTCCAATGGTCGGTGATATTTGATATTTCTTCAGTTATTTATTGGCCATTTATACTTTTTCTTTTGTATAGTTGTTCATTTCACATGTCCATATTTTGGTTGAGTCTTTTATTTTGTGTCAGTCATTCCAAAGTGAATCATAGATTTAAAGGAATACCAGTCAAAACACCAACAGCATTCTTCACAACGTAACTGGAAAAAGCAATCATAAAATTCATATGATATTAAAAGACCTAAAATTGCAAAATCAATACTGGGTATAAGGAGCAAAGTAACAGGCCTTTCAGTCCTAGATTTGAAGTTATACTGCAAAGCAATACTGATAGAAACAACATGGTACTGGCACAAAAATAGACATCAGAATCAGTGGGACAGAATAGAGGATGCAGAAAATAGTTCAAGCACTTTCAACGTTTAATCTTTGACAAAGAGGCCAAATGTCTTGAGAAAAGATAGTATCTGTAATAAATGGTGTTGTGAAAGCAGGCTATCCATATACAGAAGTTTGAATCGAGACCCTTGTCTCTCATTACCTATAGAGCAAAATCAAAAGAGATGAAAGAAGTAAATGTGAAAACAAAAACATTTTACCTGCTAGAAGATAAAATAAGTAAAAAATTTGGAATCATAGGGTGTGGGCAAGGTCTGTCTAAACAGAACCCCAGTTGCACAGGAAATAATAGTGAGAATCAAGGAATAAAATCTTATTAAGTTAAAAAGTTCTGTACAGAAAAATTAACTGTGAAGCTAATATAACTTCACCATCGTGAAGTTACCCAAACTTCAAACAAGTATACAGTATTATGAGCAGTAAATTTGTCCTAGAAAAATGAACATTTAAGCTTGGGCATGCTGAGTGAAACCTCAAACGTGCACATCTAGTGGCAAGCATAGTGTGTGGGTTTGAAATTTAAAAGGTATTCACTTATAGGTAGCAGGTAACACTATGTGAACACATGTTATCACTTGGAAACAGCATAGTAGTATGAGAAACAGAAATAAAAATGAAACTAGAAAATGTTCCATTTTAAAAGAGATGCTTGGAATAATAGGACCTTATGATGAGTATAAGAAGCAATAGCATGAAATTGAAAGACAAAACAGAAGGGACATATCCTGAAATTTAAGAAAGGAAAAGAACTCGGTCAAGTATTACAAAAAGTCCAGTAAGAAGGTAAGCTTTATGTAACTGATGATACATTTGAAGGATGAATTTAGTCACAAAGAATGTGGTGGGGAAAGGCTAAAACCATAGGTAAAGAGGACCAAGAAAATTCAGTTTCTAGAAAGAGAAGTGAGCTACATATAAACTAGAAGAGTCAAGAGAGTGTTGGTGGACTGAGCAATAAGAGCCACTGGGAGAGAGAGAATTAAGGGGGAAAAAGAAGAGAAAAATGACCTCTTGATCAGCATTTGGGTTCTTTTTAAAAATTTTTCCCTTTTCGGGGCTGGGGATTTAGCTCAGCGGCATAAGCACCTGCCTTGCAACAGGCGGTCATGAATTCGATCCCCGGTACCAATTAAAAAAAATTTTTTTTCCCTTCTCTAAGGGAACTCAGAGCTAAAAATAATCAATGAATTCATCCTTAGCCCAAAGTCTCAGGCTGTGGACATCCTTAATTGCAAGTATTTATCTGCCCTTCTCCTAAGATTTACCTGTTGAATGCCCCTTGAATTATGTACTGAAAAAGAACTTGTCCCTAATTACGTTGTAATTGCTTTATCTTCCTTCACTTAATCTTTAAAATATTATTAGAGATATCTAAGACTTCAAAGTCAGTATGGTTTATTCTTTTCACTGTTGGGTGATAAATAATTGTTTCCAGTTAAGTGCCCTTTAGATAAATGGGCATTTATGGGTTTTAGTTTTTTGAAGACTACAAAAAAGTAATAATAAACAACAAAACCATAATGATACCAGAAAAATGAATGTTTTTTTAGTTTTGTTTCAAAAATATTCTCAGTATGGTGAAAAAAAAAAACTACAAACAGCCTGGAATTCTCCCATGGAAGATAAAACAGTACTTAAAGTTGCTGCCTACAGTACTTAAAGATCCCAAATTTAGTTTCCAATAAGATTCTCAGAAAGTAGTACACCAAGAAGTAGAGTCTACTGATCACATTTAGTTAGAAGTGCACAATTATATGGGCACTAAAATTATTTATGTATGTTTATCTGCATAAAGCTTGATTGTGATACCAAAGATATGATGCTTTCTGGATTTCTTCAATCTTTGGTTCCTTCTGAACTTTCCTTGAGTGTTGCTTTTCTTTCTCACATTAAAGGCATTAAACACAAAATGATGATTATGTTAATATGAGAATTAATTAATTGAATTTTAAATTATAAGTTATGTTTAAAGATGGTTTCATATTCACAAAAGAATTGAGAGAACAGTATGTGACAATTCTGTATAACCCCTCACTGAGTATAATATCTGCGATTATTAACATTTTTTGCACACAAGTCCTTTTGTTACAGTAATGAAGCAATGTTATTATAGTATCAGTTAAATTCTTGATATATTTGAGTTTTCTTAATTTTCACTTAGACTTCTTTTTCTATTAAGCAATCATGTCTCTTAAGTTCCTCTTTGTTGTGGCCATTTTTGAAATTTTCTTGTTTTTGATGATTATGCTACAGCAGTTTTTGAGGAGTACTATATTATAAGTTACCTCTCTATTAAAATATTATATTTTTGTAATTATAACATTGGGGTTATTTGTTGCTTAGAGAGAGTTCTCAACTGTAACATGTTATTTTACCTCATGTTATCAGTGGTGTATATTATCAAAATGATTTTTGACTGTTGATCACCTCTCTATGGTAGTTTGTCAAGTATCTCCATTGTAAAGCTGTTCTTTTTATACTTGTTTATTCCAGTATAGTCTTTAGAAGAAAGTTGTTGTGTACAGCCTACACTTAAAGACTAAAGACTTTTGTTTTATAGCTGGTTATGTATTTATTAGTTATAAGTAAGGTGAAATTATTGTATTTCTGTGCATTTTTCAGAAAAATAACATTCTGTGTGTGTGTGTTATATTTCATAAGAGAATGAATTTATTTATTAATAAGGAATTGGTCTCATGGAATTTGGACATTTGAGAAAGCCAACATTTGATGCAAGAAGGCAGCAGACAGGAGATTCAAGGAGTAAAACTTTAAGTCCAGAAGCATTCTGCTGCAGAATCAGGAAGATCCAGGATTACATAAAAAGTACAAAGGCAGACAAACTCCATCTTCCTCAGAGAGGGCATTCTTCTGTCCTATTCTGATCTTCAAATGATTGGAAAAGACCAGTTCACATTGGAGGGCAGTTTGTTCTACACAAACTTTACCATCCTCAGTAAAATCTCATCCAAAGACAGAGGTGAAGAAATACCCAGATTATTTGGCCAAAACAACACTTACTTCTACTTACCAAAAAATATCTACATAATTTAGAGGTATTTGTAATTCTTTTGTATATGCGATTGCTTTTTCTATCCCATTTATTAATTTACCCAATTATGTATGTCTGCATGTACCACTTAATATTAGTTTTACATTTTGACCATAATTCAATACTAGTTCACATTTTTGTCTAACGATGGCCGTGTGGAGTCCTTTCAGCTGGCGCTTGTGAACCACTGATGTGGCTTTTCTTTGCTTCCTCATTTCTCTATTTTGGAATTCAAAAATGCTTAAGACTCAGACCGTATATTTCCTATTCTTTGAAATGAACATGTTCCTAGGAGCTCTCATGCTATCATACACTTTGAGATTTGTTATATTTTTATTTTCACTCAGTGTAAAGTTTTTTTTTTCCTTTTGACACTTTTTTGACTCTGAATTATTTAAAAATGTTATTGAACTCCATGTGTTATTTTCCTGTTTTCCTTCTGTTACTGCTT